AAAAACAGCAACACACACACGAGAAGCAGTTTGTTGGCACACGTCCAGGAAAGATACAGTTTCACTGAAACATGCTCACAAGAGAAGCAGGAAGTTGAAAATCTAACCAGAAAACAGTGATCCTGATCCAATTTCTATTTACTAGAACATGCCAAAAGCACAGAAGATACTAAATCTAGCTGAAAAGTTGAATTTGGATAAATCCATAGTAGTTATAATAGTATTTTGGACATAAATAACTGGGGAAAAACATTGTTGTCAGAAGACAAATTCAGCTATTTACATACTGAACCGTATTAACATCAAACAGATGCAACTGGAGATTATTTCAGGTTTACCTTACCCAGAGAAGTTGTCCGTTTCTGCAAGACCACTGAAAGACATCTCCTTGTTCCCAAAGTAGTACTGAGTTTGCTTAGTGATGCATACATCCTTATTTATGGCATCTGCTGCATCATCGTCCATTTCAGCTGCAGGAGGATACGATGATATTCAATGATATTCAAACACAACTCCAGTAAATAAATACACCCAGTAAACAGAACAAACACATTCAAGGCGAAATATGAACTAAAATGTATGAAAATGTTTGATCAGTTCAACCATATGTGACTGGACATCTGCTTTAAAATAAAGAATCTAATGGGTTGAAAAATATAAATACAAGAAAGACGCTGTGGAACCATGACCCCGACCAATCTTCCCATTCCTCTTCTGAATCTTTATAATCCTGTTTAGGGTCAACACTTCTAGTATGAAGGATAACTAGGTACTGGATGAATCTACGAAGGAAAAAAAGAGTTTTTTTGCAAAAGGGAGAATTATTATTAATTATCGGACACCATATTAATAGTTCTTTAAGAAAAATAAGCCATTGCTGGCCACACCCGCCTATAAATGATGAATGACCCACACTTGTACAGCGCCTCTCAGAGTAAGGACTCCAAAGCGCTTTACACTATCCCCTACGCCCCAGTTGGCTGATTTTAGGTGATGAGCTCGGCTATCAGGGACGGACTAGGAGCGGATCTGCTCCTCCAGCGTCAACAGGCTCTGTGCTAATTGCCCTTATTGTGATGTCACAAACAAAAACTTTTTGAAACGGCTTGTTTTAGGCACATCATTTCTGAAACCAAAAACTAACATGAAACGTATGGATGGGATTTTTATTTAAATTTTAAGTGTCTCCCACATGACAGCACAGAAGGATAGAAAAAGAGTGTTTTGCTGATTCTTTCTCCTTTAAGAGTAAAACTTTAATTTTTGATAAAACTTAAGCTTCCTGATCCTTTCTTCATACTGGAAACACAGCAATGCTGCTGCTTCTATTAGAATCCACTATAGTCTGTGGAGGGGATTCAAACCAGCCGCCTTGCAGCAATATTCAGGTGTATCCCAGACGCGGCACTCCGTGCCGCTGAAGATAGGATCGGGTTCTACTTTTGCCACACGCTGCTTCTGGGACACGTCAATTTCTGCTGCTAACAAGAGCTAGACAGGTAATCACACAAGGTTTAAGTGTAAAACGTCCGGTAATTTTCAAAATAAAAGTCTATTGCAGCGATGCCATTTCATATCTATGTACATTACATCTATACATGTGACCTAACTGCCTATTAACTCCCAGCATCTTTTGAAAAGTGCAACGGTGTGTTTTCATGGGTTTAATCTTTGAAATTTTGAGGAACAACATCACGTACGACATCAAACAGCGATATCAAACGTGATTTCCTTCTTTTTCGTTTAATGGCAGATTGCATAAACAAAGCGCGATCTTTGAAGTCTCGAGGGATCTTCTGATGTCTTGAGTCAAGCGAGGAGGACGGCGGAAGTCTCGAAGGATTTTGTGATCTCGCGAGTCCAGTGAGGAGCACGACAGAGAAGCCTCTCCAAGGCTGAGACTCTGGTGTGCAGCGAAGCTCATGCAAACCGCTCTGCTGCCGTTCCTCGCCGCCAATGCCTCCAGTGTGAAGTATGGGGGATTCATCCCTTTAGTTATGCTGTTATAAGAATCAGACTATATGGTCACTAGAATAAATCCAACCCTTTCAGGATATATGGGGCGACGGTGGCACAGGAGTTAAGTGCTCGCCTCGCAATCGGAAGGTCGCAGGTTCGAGACCCGCTCAGTCTGTCGCTGTCGTTGTGTCCTTGGGCAAGACACTTAACCCAGACTGCCTGCTGGTGGTGGTCGGAGGGACCGGTGGCGCCAGTGCTCGGCAGCCTCGCCTCTGTCAGTGCGCCCCAGGGCAGCTGTGGCTACATTGTAGCTCATCCCCACCAGTGTGTGAATGTGTGTGTGAATGTGTGAATGACTGATTGTGTTGTAAAGCGCCTTGGGGGGTTCCAGGACTCTAGAAGGCGCTATACCAAATACAGGCCATTTACCATTTAAACAGATCTTGTTGCTCGTTGTTCTTTCAGAAAGTATTTGTTGAGCAATAAAAAAACAAGTATAATTGAAATAAAAATAATCATGTTAGGGGACAATTATAAATAAATATGGTAACATTCATATAAAATCTCATTTAATTTAGTCATGGCAGATTAAAACGTTTTAATCACATTGCACAAAACATTCCTTAAAGAAACACGAACATCTTCTGGAAAGAATGACACTTTGTCCACATGATGAATTCAGCTGTCAAATTCAATTGGAGGGGCAACAGAAATCTCAAGGCCAGACTTTTGAAAACAATGTTATAAAAGAACCAAAAGTGCATCCACATGGCGGAAAAGGTTTGAGTTTAAAAGGGAACATCTTCATCACAAATCAGGCCTGTCATTTGGCTTCGGATTCAAGCTGTTGGTGATCTGTGTGCTCTAATACCTCATTTGTGTCTTTAGAAAATACAGAAAAACACACCGCACCAAACAGAGGTCTGGTCCACATGTGTGACATCTGAATTTGACAAAAGAGGAGGGATCGACTGACCCTAGGAGCGTTTTAAAGCTGTCCTGCACCACGAGGCTTGAGCTTAACCAAAACTGTACAAAACAAACAGTTGCACAAAACATCAATTTAGATATTAAATTGCTGATTTCTCACCCGCATCCAGAAAATTGGGGAACGTGATGCTGACCAGCAGCTGTTGCACGATTGACCTAAAGCCAAAGAGAAATACCAGAGATGATAGAAATCTGGAACGAACCCTCCCTCCTCCAAGTCTGAGCTGGGTCTTGTATTAATTAAAAACACAATTATGTGAGCTTCGATTCGGTGGATACAACCACACTGCCTGTGGCCTTTTAATCCACTTTTATTGTAATAAAAGCTGGTGATGACATCAGGACAGTGAGACCAAGCATAAATCAGCTGAAGATTTTGTGGAATCTCAACTGTCTCGGGATCGATTTATCCATTAAACAGATGCTGTACAGTAAGGCCGAGTCCTCAGCCTGCTTTTCATTACAAAACGGGCTGAAGAATTCACAATGCCGGCTTCTAAATGTTGAAATTCGTTCCTCAACATTTAGCTAGATAAACAAACGAATAAATAATTAAATAATAAACTGACTCACCAGGCTGCAGCTGTGGCCCACCATCCTACATTCAGAATATCTGCTATCGACGGCTGCAAAAAAAAAAAAAAAAAAAGGCATAAAATGTTAAAATAAATGCCAGAAATGGACAAATATACAGCTGCATCCTGTATTGTCCTTTGCACAATGTCCAGCTTCTCCAGGCAGAAACAGCGACAGACCCTGGAAGAGATATTTTCTTCTCCTCATTTCTGCAAGGAAAAGTTAAAACACTATCCTCTAAAACAGACACAAGACTAAATATGTAAGCAAAGAGCTGGTGAGAAAACAAAAAGTGGCGCGGGGTTTGAATTACACGCCTGACATGTTGCTTTGATTATGGTTAGCATGCGAGGGCCTTGTTTTGGAGAAGCGGCGGCGTACCCCTGCTCTTCGGCTGACGCTGCGTTGAGTCATCTAGGAGCGCTAACTAACCGTGTTAGAGGCATCAGTGGCTGTTGTCGGGGTCTTTGATCAGATAACGCCGGCATCTTTCATCCCACTTTGGTCAGTCAAACGTGATGTACACGATCAGTTTGGGGGATTAGACGGTTCTGACTGTCTTTTGGTGGTGGGGGGGTGTTGTACACACTTTTATCTTGCTTGTAGGTGCCAGATTTATACCATTTGGTGTTAGATGTCTGGAGAGATTTAACTCTGTCAGCATAATCTCAGCAGACAATCTGCAGCATTTTACCCTCATTTGTTCGTTCTGTAAGTGATGAAAAGCAGCACTTCCTTTGACATTGCTTAGCGTGTTTCTCAAGCACATTAGACCACCTAATCTTGTTACTGTAAAAACAACTCCCACTCTCACACATTTTCGCCATCCCCTCTGCCTCCCATCTCATCTGCTTCGTCGTGATTTACGGCTCTCTGAAGTATGAACGCTTGCAGGTACAAGTACAAATGGCTCCACGTTCGTCTCATTCATCTCTCTTTTCACGCAAGAATGAGTAAAATTATAGACATGGGTATGGAAAAGTGTGAATGTGTGTGTTTGTGTGTATGGGCTCTGGCTTGTGTAACTCACCACGTAGATGGATCGCAGGCCTGCAGCCGACTTGACTTTCTCCTTGGGGTCACACAGCGACTGGTAGTCGTAGGTGCTTATGGAGGTGAAGAGCGACACGTTGACCATGGTTCTCATGAGGCTGGGGTTGATGGTGCCAAAGAATTTCCCGATCTAAAATCAGGAAAAGAAAAGGAGAAGATTTTTTGCAGCAGGGTTCATGAGTTTGATTTTTAAAAACAGAAATGTGACTCCAAACAGAAAAACCAGACGTGAAAACTGTGAATGCAGGCTCGGGGCCTGGAGGCTAAATGCACCAGAATGTGCCTGACCTCACAGCTTCATAGAAACCTGACTGAGCTACTCCCGAACCCTTAATTTGAGCAATAAAAACGTCAAATTGCACTTTTTCTTTAGTCATACAAAGTGCTTAAACACTGAGTTTTAACTCAAAGCAAACAGCGATTTTACGGAAGCAAAATAAGGACAGACCGACTTCAGCATAACGCAATTGAAACCTTCCATCAGTTAGCCACAGCTTTCTGCTTCGACGATGTGGTTTGTCCAAAGGTGTGACATGACTGTGGAAGTGTTTAAATACTTGCACATCCAGGAGGGAGTACTCATATACAGTAGGTTTCTTGTTGCACATGTTCTCAAATGCATGTGTGAGCGCTTTAGGAAATGCAAACTATCATTTTCCTTCCACTTTGTAAGGCCATTGTTAACAAGCGGCCCTCCACATACTCACTCCTCCCACTAGCCAAACGATATATAAATCTTCCAATCCATAAGGTAACGAGAGCCTTCTCCTGTTTCCCAGTGCAGCAATGCAAATAATGAATTAACAGTCACAGCTCTGCTGGCTTCAGACTCCCTGAGGTTTTCTCTTCTGAGAATGAAAAAGGAAGGGCAGAGAAAGCCATAAAGCTGGAGAGAAACGTTGCTCCTGTTGGAAATATGATTGAGGGCGTGCAGTCTTTTACAAACAAGGTTGCTGGGTTTTAGTGCTCCTGTCAAACATCAGAGGGAGACTGATTTATTCAACACGAACCCAGGCCTGATTAGCAGAGGGTCGGAGCTGCATGAAAAAACATTTACTCAGATGACATCAGGGCCCCTCTGTTAGCGTTTAGCATAAGACAATAAGAGGGGGGGTGGAGGCCTTCTCTGTTTGGGTCTGTGTGTGAAGGAAATAGGAAATGATGGGTCAAATTACATTTAAGAGGCTTCATTAGTGGAAATTTTGTTTGTGTTGTAAATGGCAAAATGAGGCTAAATGAAGTTTTACAGCTGGATTTTGCTGATTAAAAATAAGCAACAATTGTAGAGTCACTGAGCACAACATCTTTGGTTCGTGTTTATGATGTGTGGGACTGCGCAGCTCTGCTGAGGAAGGTTGAAGTTGGTTTCATAAATGCATGTAAAACATTCTTAGGTGACAGAACACATCACTCCCTTGCGAGTATCACTTTATAGCTGGGCAGCTTTAAAAAGTGAGAAGCCACATGCTACAAATTAGCTTCCTTGTGCATTGCTTCTGCACAGTATGAATGCTTACTTTGTTGACTTCTTACAAATGGAAGGATAATTACACTGATGCGGTTTTGCATTAGAAAAAAAAAAGAGGAACATAAGTATGCATCAGTCTCCATGCAGGTGACAATTTAATAGCAGGTCAAGTACCGAGATAAAGATGTGCATCACTTGTTTAATCAACACATTTGCAGTGGTCTATAGAGGAAATCAATGCCTTGTAAGTCGTATTTGGGGGTAAAAAAAAGCTCAGATGCACCTGTTTCAAGAAGTGCAAGTCACCCAGAGGAGACTGTAGCTTCAGACATCTTATTTCTTGATATTTGGACATCTCTCCTCTGATTGGATAATGGCACCACGACTCTACCACTGACTGTTTGCTCTGCGATGTTGATGTTTAATCTCCACAAATAACACAAGTCTGAAGGACTTCTGCTGTGTGGCGGAGTTGCTAATGCTAACTTTTAGCTTCTGCTTGTTGACACGTTCTCTGCTGTTTCCAGGATGCTAAATCAACGACAGCCTTCCTCATCAAAGATGGGTGAGTCCATGAATGTTAGGTGAAAGTGTGACATAGATCTATCAGGTTTTTCTAACCCTGCAACTTCACAGTCTATTTTTTGTCAGAAGCTAATGCAGGAGATAGGTGTAGGAGACTATTTTCATGTTCAGCCAGCATGAAAAACTGTGTTGGATTATAATCAGAAATAATAATTAAAAAAAGGGGTTTTCAGTGTCCCACACCTTTACTAAAATAGATTCTAAAGCTAAATGGAAAGGCCCACCTTCTTATTGTAATCATCTTGATTGGACATCACCAGGAAACCACCATCATCCAGAAAGACACAGTCTATGTTCTACAATCACACACACAGACACACACACACACACACACACACACACACACACACACACACACACACACACACACACACACACACACACACACACACACACACACACACACACACACACACACACACACACACACACACACACACACACACACACACACAGATTAGACTGTTGCTCTTTGTACAAATTTCATCCAGATCAAATAAAAAAATGAAACATTCTAAATGTTCAAACGTCCGACCATGTCGTTTCTCATGCAGCCGCAGATCTCATCCTTGCACTTAAAAAAAAAAAAAGAAGAGCGATCACCAGAAGTTATGATTTGAAGCTGTACTGATTTGCGCTGATAAAATCTACTCACATTCTGCTTGTACGCAACTTTGATTAAGTTCTCCATCCACGCCTCGACGTCCAGCTTAACGCCGACCACTGGGGGGAGAAAAAAAAAGCCTCGGCATCAACTCTACACTCTGAACTCTTCACTTGGCCAAAGATCAGAGGCAACGAGACAAGCTGATGTGTGGTTGGTGTGTGTGAGACTGAGAGATGAGAAGAATCAGGAATAACAGGGAGTGGTGGTTATTAAACAAGAGGCTGTGACAGTGTTTAGAGTGATAGAAACTATGAGGTATAAAGGTTGCAGGGTCAAGAGTAAATTTATTTGTAGGCGGCAGGTACGGCGTCCTTTTTAGGACATCCTTGTGTCTCTCAGAAGAGTCTTTGGAATTCAGACGAAAGGTCCTCAGACGTCAGACAGTACACGAAAAAGCAACAGACAAAAAGGACACAATGGGGAGAAGACCGACGACCTTTTTGCTGATTCCTGAAGTTCTCTCGTCTGACAGCTTTCTCTCCTTTTATACTTGATCCCCTTTTTAATTTTTACCACACCATACCATAGTTTATTTATATAGCACGTTTAAAACGCAGCATGTGAGCTGCCCAAAGTGCAGCACAGGCTAAAACAAAACGTGACCATTCTGAGAAACTAAAACAGAAGATAAAGTGAAGATGAACCGGTGTCTTGGCTGCTGCCGCGGATCTGTTGCTGTCGAGGCAGATGGCTCCGCTGATGATGTGTCGTCCATTACCTGACCCACCAGAACTCAGCCTATTGTTTACTCTGTTGTTCACGTGTGTGTGTGTGTGTGTGTGTGTGTGTGTGTGTGTGTGTGTGTGTGTGTGTGCGTGTGTGTGTGTACATTCACCTTGGAAATTGGTTGCGGGAGGGGAAGTGTAATAAAGCTTGGTTTATGCTTGAAGCGTGCGCAAGGTTCGCACGGCTCCGTGCGGCAAAATTGCGTCATTTTAACAACCACACCCCTCCACCGCGCCTCCACACGGCCCAAACTTTCCGCACCGCGGACCTAGGAAATGTTCTAACCACGCTGACAGTCGGACGCAGAAAAACATGGCGGACTGGCAAGAACTAGTATGGCAGAGGTTCGTAAATACAGACATTTGTATGATTCAGCTCTCAGAGATCACCGTGATCAACATGTCGTTAATAATTCTTGGAGAGAAATAGCTCGCACTGTCGGAAAAGACGAGGACGCTGTTAAAAATGCTGGAATGCCATGTTGTAAACAACAGTAATTTCTACTTCTACTATGGTGTAGTGTTGGATGCATGCCGTAGAGCTCCATGCTGCCCCGTTCAGTTTGGGAGAATATTGGCTCACCGCAGAGATGAACCGCATGAACCATAAACGCCACAAGTTGTGAAGCGTGTTCCATCCGCGAGCTGCATCACCAAGCGGAAAGTAAATGCGTCAAGCATAAACCAAACCTAATTGTCAATTGTTTTATACTTGGGGAGGGGGGCCCGGATGAGAATATGGGATCTATGGGGCCATTTAAATCTGTGAAGCACTTTGAGTTGCAATTTTTTGTATGAAAAGTGCTATATAAGAAAAGTTGATTTGATGATTTGAATTGATAACAATATCAGTCAAAAGCAGATAAAACATGATGAATACTAAGAACACATTAAAACAATAACACAATAAAACACTAAAATGAGTCACTGTCTAAAAGCCAAATTGTAAAAGTGGGTCTTTAAACCGCCAGTGACGGAGCCTGCCGAGCTCCAATGGGCAACGAGTTCCACAGCTTTGGGGCAGCATGCACAAATGCTCGTTCACCCCGAGATTTGTATCGCATCCGGGGCGTACACAGCAGCAAAAGGTCAGACGACCTCAACGTGCGCGTGGGTACATATGGAGTAAGCAGGTCAGAGAGATAGGGATTTTGATGCCTTTTTGTCTGTTGACTTTCTTCTTAGGGATGTTTGATATTATTGGGCGATTAAGGCAATACAATTTAATATTAGAATATTAATATTGGGAACAACACAAATTTAGAGGTTTAGTTTTTGAGTTGTTTTTGTTTCCAAAGGGTTCAAATGATGACTACTGGACATTTTGCATCTCATCCAGGGAGCTTTGTCTATTCTGACTGGAACTGACCTCTTCAGATCAAAACTCTGCAGTCCACTTATGCCTGAAGGACCAGGGACACAGCGTCGAAGATGACATTGTACAAATTCTACGCAGATGGTTGGAGAGAGGAGTAAAGGCAGCTTGCCACCATCTACAATGCAGCTCTCAATCTAATTCGAAAACAGTTTCGATCTTGGTCACACCCGCCTGCATGGTGGCGCAGTTGTTAGCACAGTTGTCTCGCAGCACGAAGGTTGCAGGTTCGAAACTCGGCTGCGGCCTTCCTGCGTGGAGTTGCGTGTTCTCCCCATGCATGTGTGGGTTTCCGCCAGAAACTCCCGTTTCCCCCACAGATCACAACATGCCCTATAGGTTATAAATTGTAAGTCACTTTGGATAAAAACGTCTGCCAAATAAATAAACATAAACATATTCAATCCAATTTCATTCATTTTATTTATATAGCAGCAAATCACGACAAAAGTCATCTCAATGAACTTCAAAAATTAAGCATTCCAATTAGGGATGGGTACCTTTGACATTTGAATCGATTCTGTACTAATTCCCGGTACCTAGGAATCGATACCGGTACTTAACGGTACCAATTTTCGATACTTTTGAATGTTTAATATTTTAATTCTCTTTTATAATTAAATAAATATTTTTCTCAATATATAACCATATTTGATAAATATCATGACAAATAACATACAACTGTTTGTATTTTAACATTGTCCTTGTAGTTTTATAATCTGATAATTAAACTGAAGCAAACATCTTTACTGTGGACTAAATTTACTGTGTATCTTCATTCCTTTTGCTGTCCTTTTTCTTTTGATTTTTCCTACTGGGAAGTTAGAATTTCCGAGGAGAAAGCGAACGCACCATTAGCTGATAACAATGGTGGCAATGGAAGCTAACATATCAAGCTAACGTTATGTTAAACAGTTTATTTAGCTGCTGGAGCAGATTAAAACGATGATGCCTCACACTTAGATCGTTGTCACTGGTTCCATCTTCACCCAATCACCCGTCGCATTTATTGAAGTGAAGTCAAACTTTAGAGCGTGTTCATGTTCTTCTAGTAGGAAATTCGGAGTTCCGAGGAGAAAGCGAACGCACCATTAGCGAAACGGAAGCTAACATATCAAGCTAACGTTATCTTAAACATTTTATTTACCTACCGGAGCAGATTAAGATGAGTATGTCTCACTTAGATCGTTGTCGCTGGTTTCATCATCACCCAGTTCCCCATCACATTTAGTGAAGTGGACCCAAGCTTTAGCGTGCGTTCTTTCTACCATGCTGCTCTGTTTACAACTGGCTCGCAGCGACCGACGACATAACGCTCTTGCGCATACGCAGCTGTCTAGGCAAGTTCTCGTTACAAAGGACGGGTACCGAAACGAGGCACCGTTTCAAATGACGTGAATCGGTGCTCAGTCGGTACTTTGGAATTCGGTCGGTAGCTTAAAAAGTACTGAAGTCAGTACCCATCGCTAATTCCAATACAGCTCAGTTCAATAAGCTAATCAGTAAAAAGTTTCCTATATAAGAACCCAGCAAATTGCATCGAGTCACTGACTGGGGTCAGCGTCTAATCAAAACATCCATTCTAACACAATAGATCTTAATGACATCAATGACTCCTCGTGGACAGGGATGAGGGGTATTCATATGTAGTTTCTGCTCATTAAGAAACATCAATAGACAGCTTCAGTTTATAAGCTTGACCCTCCCATATTCCAGTCAGAATTGACAAAGCTCCTTGGATGAGAAGCCAAATGTATTCAAAAAACCAAAGAAGTCCAGTTGCCTTCATATAAACCCTTTGGACAACCATGCCCCGGATGACTGAGAACCTTCACCAGCATGTTGGTTTTATGTAGCACAACTAGACTAACTTAAATTGAAGTAGTTGTGATATTTTGCACAGTTTAAGTATGAATGATAGGAGATATGTGATGCTAGTTACCTAAAAATATTGCATTTTTCTTTTTTATGAGGGAGGGACTCTGAATGTATTGGTAACAGAAATTAAAATTTAGATCTATATATCAGATATCTGTTAAAAAATATAGGCTTGTATTTGTATAATGCCTTCTTGAGCCTGGGGCACACCGGAGACAGACACATCGCGCCGCGGAAGCTCTGTGGTTTTGAGAAGTGGTCACACAGGACACGCCGTGCTGCTGAGCGCTTCATGAAAAGTCGCGCAATAGTCACAACATCACGCGGGAATTAAGAACAGGAAGTGAAAACGGACTCTTTAGTTTTTACATGATCAGACTTGCAGTCGTGTTTTGAGAGACTCTAATAAAATGGGTAAGTACGCTATCTATTTGAATATTTTAAGATCAATAGTACTTTAAACGTGTCAGTACTGAGGTTGGGTTTGAGCCGTAAAGCCGCTCCATGCCGTAATGTCTGTTGGAGGAACTCCACAATGTTGAAATAGAACTGGCGCCTGTCTTCAGCGCCTCAGCGTGGCGCTTCTGGGACGCGGCGCGGCGCTCTCCGTGAAGCCACTCTCATTAAGGATAATAGCTTCTATTTAAAATGACGATGCGGGTGTGGTGCGTCTGTCTCCGGTGTGCCCTACGCTTTACGGTTCTCCAACACCCCAAGGCACTTCACAACACAATCAGTCATCCTTCTACATTTTTTCTTTACATTTGATCATTTTGCTTTTTCCTGAAACTCGATGCCTTTTATTTTGACAACCTAAGGACCTCATGCCCTTCCTTTGGATAAATCTTTTCTGATACGTGGTCCTTTTTTGTCCTGACAGCCTTTGCTCTTATATCTAATACTTTTTCATTTCCCTGCTACTTGGATGCCTTTTGGCCTAATGATTAATCCTGATGCCTGTTCCATTATCTGACCAATTAATGTTCAATACCTAATACCCGTTGATCCTTTCACCTACCGAATCTTCATTTGACAACTTTTACGACAACTCACTTTTAATACTTTTATTTTTCTTGAAACCTGATGCGTTTTAATGAATATTTGAGGTGATTTAGTTGCATTTAGGTCATTTTCCGATGCCTAAAGATGTTCTAAATACCATAATCAAGGTATCAGAGTCCTTACCAGCTGGTTTGAGTGTGATGCCTTTAATGTCCAGGTTCACTGCTCTACTCACAAGGATCCCATCACTTTCTGCACATGTAAGACACACACACATTTCTCTTAAAATAATTGAAAATACCCCAAAATACATGCTCTTTTTTCCTCTGGGTTACCATTGTTTGGTGCTGGTGTAAAAATGTACAGGTCGTTGTCCAAACTTCGCTTGTAGAAACTTGATTCGTATGTTTCTGCTTCTTCATTCCAGTCCAGCCCAGCGCTGTTAAATACAAGAAGGAATCACAGTTTGGTGCACAGTAAGACCCCCTCATCCCTTTTATCGCCCCAAGATCCCTAGGATCACTCCAGTTTTCCGTCTGATCTCTTAAGTTCATAATTTACATTTAATTACTGCACCATCTGTTGATAATATTTTGAAATAAAAGTCTCAGCTATTTGCAATATGTCAAGATTGCACTTAACGTTTTTATGAAAATTACGCGAGCTCGTCACATTTTTTAAGTGACGGTGTGTATTTTTCCGGACGATGGGGGCAGTTACTATCTACATCACTGCAATCAAACTGTACTTTTGTGTTCGAGTGAGACCTGACCAACGGATGGCCATTAGGGGCAAAAAGCCCTGGGAGCACAACCTCCAGCAAAATGACAAGCACATCAGACTCCCTTTCATCACTGGCAACGAGCGAAAAGGTACATGTGTAACAACATTTACGAATGCAGAAAGTTTCGTAACCATTTGTTATAAATCAGTAAATGTGTTTTGTCCTCACAAGCTCCCGTAGAAGGAAACATGGCATCTAATATGGCATCGCCCAGAGATTTAGACCTGCTCCCATGTATTTTAGACCAGATTTTTATGGTTATGTAACGAAGCAGCCAATATTTTTCAACAACATAATCATTTAATTCATTTTGATGTATGTTTCCAGAGATCAACAGTAAAAACTACACATTTTCTCTTTAAAATTGAATTTACTAATTTTTAAAAGAACTTGCAGTTTTTTATATTTATGTAAATGAACCCCATGTAAACACATTTTTTTAAGTAATTGAAAAGGCTGATGAGGAAAACATGTTCAAACCTCACACTGTATATTTATGTTGTATGCACATTTTGAACCTATTACCAGAACATAGAAAATGAGGAAGCAATTTCGAGGCCCTTCACAAGGACCAAGAAATACAAAAATGAACTAAAAAATAATAAAATGACTTGTTGAACTTTCACATCTAAGCAACAGGCAAGAAATACTACCAGGCATTTTACATTACACTTGGGAGAATCATTTGCTAATATGTCTGCAAGACAAGGCCAAAGTCCTTGTCCTCACAGAAACTCGAACAGGAATCACATTTAGAGTTTGGCGTTCGTTTCCAAATTTACTTTTAGGAAAGTCTAAACTTTTCTTGTTTAATTAGAATAAAAAAAAAGAAAAATACTTTTCTCCTATGATTTTCTAATACTTTACATAAAATTATAAACAATATCCCCCAGAGGAGCTGGCCCGAGTGGCTGGAGGGAGGGAAGTCTGAGCCTTTTGCTTACGCTGCTGCCCACGATTCGTCGTCGTCGTCGTCGTCGTCTTCCTCCGCTTATCCGTGTCCGGGTTGCGGGGGCAGCATCCCAACTAGGGAGCTCCAGACCGTCCTCTCCCCAGCCTTCAACATCAGCTCCTCCGGCAGGACCCCAAGGCGTTCCCGGACCAGATTGGAGATGTAACCTCTCCAACGTGTCCTGGGTCAACCCGGGGGCCTCCTGCTGGCAGGACATGCCCGAAACACCTCCCCAGGGAGGCGTCCAGGAGGCATCCTGACCAGATGCCCAAACCACCTCAACTGGATCCTTTCAATCCGGAGGAGCAGCGGTTCTACTCTGAATCCCTCCCGAATGTCCGAGCTCCTCACCCTATCTCTAAGGCTGAGCCCGGCCACCCTACGGAGGAAACTCATTTCGGCCGCTTGTATCCGCGATCTCGTTCTTTCGGTCATTACCCAAAGCTCATGACCATAGGTGAGGATTGGGTCGTAGATCGACCGGTAAATCGAGAGCCTGGCTTTCTGGCTCAGCTCCCTCTTCACCACGACAGATCGGCTCAGCGTCCGCATCACTGCAGACGCTGAACCAATCCGCCTGTCGATCTCCCGATCCCTCCTACCCTCACTCGTGAACAAGACCCAGAGATACTTAAACTCCTCCACTTGAGGTAGGACCTCTCCCCCCGACCTGGAGTTAGCAAGCCAACCTTTTCGGGTCCCCACGATTCGAACCCGGATAAGTACAGAAACATGGATGGACGGATTATATAATCTAGAGGATTCTAGATGGTTTGGACATCTGGTCAGAATGGTCATCTGGTCAGAATGCCTCCTGGACGCCTCCCTGGGGAGGTGTTTTGGGCATATCCTGCTGGCAGGAGGCCCCCCGGTCGACCCAGGACATGTTGGAGAGGTTACATCTCCAATCTGGTCTGGGAACGCCTTGGGGTCCTGTCGGAGGAGCTGGTGGAGGTGGCCGGGGAGAGGACGGTCTGGAGCTCCCTAGTTGGGATGCTGCCCCTGTGACCCGGATAAGCGGAGGAAGATGACAACGACGATTCTTGAAGAGTAGATGATGGAAGTAAAGAGTAATATTTTGATTCAGGAGGGAAAACTATTGAAATGCTACAGCTCTATTGACATCAAATACTCATTTCATCATGATAAATACCTTTTGGGGAAGACGCGTGTGATTCCTCCATCAGTGGCAACAAATCTGGCCACAACACCATGCCTGACAGGCAGATAAAATACAGCCATAAATCACGCTGTAACAAAACTCTGGAATGCGCTTCATGAATGCTTGACATTTACTGGTGATGGTGAAACACTTGGACCACATGGACTGCCACACACCAAATATGGTTGCTTCACTTACTGCAACTCATTTCCCTTCCAGATCTTGATCAGGTCTGAGGTGATGCCAGCATCCAAAAGCAGTCGGTTCACCAGGTCCCTATTACCTACAAGACAAAACATGACTTGAAAGTTAACTTTCAAACAAAATTTGAGCGACTCTGGCGAACAATCGGAAACTGTAAAACCGGTGACAAGTAGTTATTAAGCAGGTTTTTGTTAAAAGCTAAAAATAATTTATGAATAAAAGGAGGCAACTTTTGCCCAGTGTGGTGGTGGTGGTGAGGTGTTACAGGTGTAAAAAATACTTTCACAGACATCCGACACAACCACATGACAAACACAACGGGCGTTAAAAGCTGTTGCCCTTTTCCTGGCCATGCCCGCCTCTTTGAACCCTCAGACGACTCGTTTCAGTCCATAAACGTCGAGGGTTCGTCGGTGCACCACCACCACCACCTCCTCCAATCTTTATGACAAGCCACACACATGAGAAAAAACAGCTGGTGTAACACTTTAGTCCTCTCCAACTGCACCGTCTAACCCTGTGTTGTGGTTTTCATTAGGGATCCTTTATTGAAAGCAGCCCAGGAATTCCTAATGTACTTCTTCGCCACTGCAGTGGCTTAACCACGTGAAGCTTGTAACGATGCTCGAGCCACTAATGCCCTCCCTCTCCTCCTCCTGGTCCTCTGTGGACTCCATTAAACTAGCAGCTAATAACAGTGAAAGTAATATTTCAACCGGGTGAAAAGTTTTATTAGACTGATCATGTTGAGTCGTTTGAAGTGAGTCCTTAAATGCAAACCATCAAATTAAAACAATGGAACGCAATAAAAGAGCTCTTTTATAAATGCCAAGGGACAGTGTGCTGACACACACACACACACACACACACACACACACACACACACACACACACACACACACACACACACACACACACACACACACACACACACACACACACACACACACACAAAGAGATTCATATCAATGCAAGAAACGGTAATGTTAATGCATTGGTCAGATGTCAGAGAGAAGGTCCACTTGGCCCCTGATTTGTGTTTTATTGCTCTACTCACGCTCATGAGTGGACGTGTCCTGCTCTTTCTCACAAACACACAGTAATTGGACGAGGTCGAGCGGCTACATGAGGGGTGTGCAAAGCATATTACTGGTGAACGGCATGTGTGTGTGTGTCACATCTAAGCTGACGTGCCTCACACATGTGCAGCCAGCCGTGTGATGGTTGGAGCTTTGGAGTTAGCATCAAATGGGGAACACGAACACAGGGGTTCCACATTACAAAGCTTTGCCTGGTCATGCACACCAAAGCATCTGACCAGACCTGTATTTCACCGGACAGACCGACCTCTGGAAACAGGTTGGCACCCTTCCATTAAATGTTCAATGCACACCTTGATACTTAAAGCCAGATGGCTGCGATTTATTCAGTTTAACATTCAAACACCTTCAAAAAAAAGATTCATTCTAGACAGAACAGCAGTATATATATATATATATATATATATATATATATATATATATATATATATATATGAAAAGATATACTTACAATTTGGATCATTTGGTGTCTTAATGTCAATGTAATTATTAAGCTCCATCAGGAACTCTGTGTTGTTTGTGTTCTTGTCCAGTGGCTTTAAGTCATTGCAGTACAATCTGTGGGAAGAACAAATGTATCCATGAATGTGGTTAAAGACAGGTTTCTAAGACCATTTGGAAAAGTCTCATCTGTCCCTACCTTGGTGCGATGAATGTGTATCCATACTCATCGAACTTATCTGCCATCAGGCTCTCAGAAACTGATAAACAGAATTCAGTGAGAGCATATTAGATAACTGAATAAGTCAGATGGTATGCAGATGATGCCCCATTGTGCTGAATAAGTAACAGTGCAGCTTTAGGGAAGGATGGCTGTGGTCAAAAACTGGTTTAACTCCTGACTATGGTGGCCCAAAGGTGCAAAATGAGTCAGATTGATTTCGTGAACTTTATTTTTTAAAGTGGCTTTTCAGAAAAGAGCTTTTTGTTAAACTTTGATACGTTGTACTCTTTCATGATTGTTTTCATGCAATTTCTTTAGAAATATTGGGCTCTCATTTGGTTTTGTTTTTAGAATGCTTTGTTTTGTGAAGCGTTGCAGTTTGGGGTTAACTTCTTACCATTTGCTACTTTGTTATATACAATGTTTTCTGTTTGTGTTTTTTGTGATTTAAGAAAAGTTTTGTTTTCTCCTTAAGAGTTATACAAAAAATTTGTTTTTTATGACTTTGTTGCATTTTTGTTGTGTTTTGTTGCCCACAGCTGGACCACAGGGCTACCATACTCAGCTGTCTGCATTGGAACCCTAATCCTAATGAAAGCATACATTTAATGTTATCCTGCTTATGCTTGAAGTAATGCCGGGGAACATTAACTAGCAAAAAGACAGAAGTAGATAATATAATACATCATTTGACCTTTCTCAGATAGCAGCTACTGCAGAACAGGAACAGAGTAAATCATTCAAATACAAGGTTTAATTAAGAATGACCAGAAAAGATGTTGGTCTGAAGCATTGTGTCGACGACTGAGGAGACTTTGACAGGAGGAGAGAGATGAAAGTGAAGAAAAATAAATACTTGCCAGTTTGCCCTGAAGTGGAAATAATCCCAGAGGAGTGAAGGCGAACAACAATCCCCCAGGGAGGTAAAGACGAGATGGAAAAGAAAGTACAGGGGGGGGAAAAGGGACAGGGTAAAACCACAGAGGTCAAAGGTGACAATATTTTATTCACAGAACGAGTTCTGAATAGAAATATTGCATTGTGAATAAGAGGGTTGGAACTCTGGATGTAGACGGTGCTGATGGGGAACACAGATTGTGGTCATACGGGTTTCAGAAGCAGCATTAGCATCCTTTTGATGATAGAAAATCTCAGTAAACTCCTCTAGCAGCTTTAAGTTAAAATGATGACCGCAGCTTACATCTTTAGGGTCTGTTCTCCTAAGAACATTCAATAAACACTACAGAGGAGATTTTCCCACGACGACACGGCTGCTCTTCGTCCTCCTCGGTGGTCTAGAATCGTCCTTTGATTCTGGATCACTCCTTAATAATTCACCAGATCTCGTTAGTGATGATGAAAAGTAGGGAGATACGGGGTGTGACAAGAGAGATCATTCTCTCTTCATGCAACATTCACACAAAAGCAGAACCCTGATCACAGTCACACAGAAACAATGAAATCAGGAAGTTTCAGCAAATGCTTGACGAATAGAAGAGGGAATTGGGATTCGACGGGTTATCAAGTTTAGGAGGTTTTTGGTTCGACGCCCACGGGTTAGGTGAAACTGATGACAAAGCACACAGAGGGACAGACAAAAGAAGTGAAGCTTGCTTTGTAAAATAAAAGGAGTCCTGTATTTCATTAGGAGTTATTAAACAAGGTTGTAAAACTCAAAGGAGAAAAGCAAAGAAAAACAAAGACACGCCAATTTAAGCGTCGAGTACAGACACGGCTTTCTCCTTTATGGCTTCACCTTTCAATAATGCAAACATCCTGTTCCTCTGTTCTTCCTGCTGCAGTGGGCTTGTGCCAAAACCACATCTGAGGCCCGTTCAAACAGTTGGAGCAGGTGGGGGGGTGTTGATACATACAGACAAACACACACACACACACACATCGTCTGCGGCGTGCAGGGAGACGCTTTGCATGCGAAGAAGCGCCTCTGAAAGCAAACATCGGCTTGATTCATCTCAACAAAATTGTCATTACTAATCAGAAGGCACTAATGAAGGAAAAACAAACAAATAAAGTCTGGAAGGCCACACAAGAGTGACGCTACATCCAGTGTCTGATGTGAGAGTGAAAAGGAGACAGAGTTTATGAGGAAAAGAAAGTTTGCCAGGAAATCATCACCATTTTCTATCTTTTACATTTGTCAGCGGTTTTATGAATGACCTTTGAATAAAAATGTTACAAAAGAAAGAATTTTGGTGTCCCGAAAGGTCAACTTTTGGAGATCCGTGGTTTTTGGTCGACAGCAATAATGCGTTGCAGACGTTCCAATACATATGAAGACAGTGGATAAAGGGAAGCAACGCCCAAATAGCCAATAGTGTCACATAATATTTTATTCTAACACAAATGGAATAAACTATTATTTATATTTTTGGCTAACTAAACTGAATTGAGAATTTTTTATTCTCAAGCAGCTGGGATGAGAATCAGCTCCTCTAAATCCAAGACCACGGTCTTGAGTTGGAAAAGGGTAGAATGCCTTCTCCAGGTCAGGGACGAGGTCCTGCCCCAGTGGAGGAGTTTAAGTATCTCGGGGTCTTGTTCACATGTGAGGAAAAGATGAAGCAGAAGACTGACAGGCGGATCGGTGCTGGGTCTGCAGTGATGTGGGCGTTGGACCGGCTTGTCGTGGTGAAGAGAGAGCTGAGCCGGAAGGCAAAGCTCTCGATTTACCGGTCGATCTACGTTCTTACCCTCAGCTATGGTCATGAGCTTTGGGTAGTGACCGAAAGAATGAGATGACAGATAAAAGCGGCTAAAAAGAGTTTTCTCCGCTGGGTGGCTGGGCTCTCCCTTGGAGATAGGGTGAGAAGCTCAGGGGCTCATGGCAGACCCGCTGCTCCTCCACATCGAGAGGAGCCAGTTGAGGTGGCTCGGGCCTCTATTTAGGATGCCTCCTGGTGAGGTTTTCCAGGCAAGTCCAACCGGGAGAAGACTTAAAGGAAGACCCAGGAGACGCTGGAGGAACTATGTTTGTTGTCTGGCCAGGGAATGCCTTGGGATTCCCCCGGAGGAGCTTGCCCAAATGGTTGTGGAGAGGGAAGAATGGGCCTCCATGTTTAGGCTCCTACCCTCGCGACCCAACCCTAGATAAGTGGCCGAAAATGGATGGATGGTTTAAATTCGAGAGACAAGTGATTATTAAGTGACCTACATCTGAGTACAGGAAGCTTGTTTAAAAATCCTAAAATATATGAAGGAAATCAAGTGCAATGTAGGTGAACAAAATGAATGTTTTCTAACTAAATATCAAAAAAAGATATAAAAAACAGGCTTGTTATGGCTGCAAACTTAGAGAAAAAACAAACTGCTGCAATACAAAGTACAATGGTGTAGTGGAAACGATTGTGCAGGGTCAAATATCCATGTGAGATCCAAAGAAGACATTATTATATGAATCTACATATGCAGGTAAAAGTCAACTTGGAATGAAGAAAAAAAATAAGCCCACATAAGTAAAATGTTATGGAAGCCCAATCCCGCCACTCTGATTAAATAATGCTCAGAATTATCAGATAATAACCAAATTTTTTTTCCAATCAGAGAGAAAGAAATGGATTTCCATAAATATCTAGACTGCTCGAAAGTTGGAAAATAATCATTAAACAATAGTTATGGAATGCACGCCGTCATCCAAATAATGTTAGTTTTAAAGTTTTTTTTTTAGTTTGTTAGATTTGTCCACAACAGCATCTCAAAGTTTTTCAAGTCACCCTGAAAAAGCATGATCAGTTTGAGTTAGAGCTCTCAGGTAATTCTTGGAAGGTTTTCTTGCTGCAAACTTTATAGAATCCAACCAGAGACTGGTGCTCCTTGCATTAATCAAACACCACATTGAAAAAATGTGAGAAAAGCTGTGAAGTTTCTTTTTACTAAAGAGAACAGCCAGATGCAACAAGAGACATTGCGCTTCACCGTATATCAGCTAATAGAGCTGAGCTTGAGCTTATAAATATCCACTTTGGGACGAGCACACAGAGTACAGAACTCAGCTCTATAATTATCTTTTCTATGTGGAAAAGGTTTAACAGGATCTCATCTAAGAATGCGTTTTGGTTAAGACAAATGTATGAAGGCTGATGTAAAAGAACAATATTTCTTCATAATATGCTTCCAATGAGCCAGACTTTCTAGTAGTCTATTATTGTGATCTTGGTTATAATTTCTTCAAGTTCTCTAGAGATTTCCACAGTTTTGGCATCTTTTCAGATAATTTCCTGTCTAGTTCCTGCACCTGACATTTCCAAGAAAAAAAAACAGGCTCTTTAGAAACAAATAGTGAAGAAATTAGAGGTTGGTTTCAACGTTTTGCACAGATCTGTAGACAAATGGGAATAGCCAAGAATGGATGGAGAACTGCACTTACATTTTGCCTGAGTGATTGTGTCATCGATTTTCGCACGAATGTAATGCATGCTGTACTCTGGAAGGACCAGAGCCAAGCTGAAAGAGGATAAACAGGAAAAACCCATTTTCAGCAAAACAGATGCATGTTCCATTAAGTCAATGCACCAAAAACATCTCAACATATATCTTTAGACCACACTCAGTCTGGAAAAAAGTTTAATGCAGTAGTTTGTGAAATGTGTCAGTGCTGAACATCTGGAATTTTTCTACAAAATGAACTGAGAAGACACTCTCTGCATGCAACAGGTTTAAAAATACCTACATTACATTCACTATGCACTTTTCCAAACCCCAAAACAAAAAAATGTTTGTACCTACTGGGCTTAATTACCTTCAAGTAATAAGAGTTTGTTTAAAATGATGACATCATTTATTTCTTATCAAGAGGTTATTATGATTATTAAGATAAGGGCTGAAGCATGACTAATACTGAATTGGGTTGCCTGGTTGGTGAGTTGTGATTAGACCAGAGCGTATCCAACTGTCTCAGCAGGTCTAAACACTTTGCACTTAACATCCAATTGTACCTTTCTAAAGAGCGTGTAACACACAAAAGTGACGAAGATAAAGTCTTCATTGGTTAGGGGATCTGGTTAAACAAAGAACCGAAGGTTTGGTTGATAATTGCTTGATTCTGCATGAAAATACAGAAAGATGTCACCACATTTCATAATTATTGTTGTAGAGCAAGTTCTGACACATCACTGGAAGAGCCAACATTTCCTGACACGCCTGCCCTCTTTTTGTGAGATGAACAATGAAGCAGAAAAAACTGCTGTGCAAACACCATTTATTGTTTATTTCTTTTTACTATCCTGAAAATCAAGAGCAAATGAGTACCGTATTTTCATGACCATAAGGCACACCTAAAAGTCTTAAATTTTCTCCAAAATGTACGCCGCGCCCTATGGTGCGGTGCGCCTATTGTGCTGCTGTGAGATGTGAACGTAGTAGAAGACAAGGGGCGTCGCGTGAACGTGCTGACGTGAGAGAAGACAGACCCCGAATAGTTCAAAAGCGCAGGTATGCGCGGTATGCTGAACATTGTTCTGACAACCCTGAGAATGGCACTTGATAAGAGACACGCCTATGAAGCACAGTTTAAACTGCAAACGATCAGCTACGCGGAGAAACACGGGAACAGAGAAGCGGCGAGAGAATTCAGCATTAATGAGTCCATGGTTCGCAAGTGGAGCAAGTTGGAAAACAAACTCTGACAAGTAAAGAAGATGCAGCTGTGTTTCCGCGGGCCTGAGCTGGAAGACCGCCTCGAGCAATGGGTTAACGAGCAGAGGGCAGCTGGGAGAAGCGTCTCTACCATCACCATTCGTGTGAGAGCAGTAACGCTCGCACAAGAAATGAACATTGAACATTTTCAAGGAGGTCCGTCTTGGTGCTTTCGTTTTATGAAACTCCGCCATCTTTCCATCGCCTGCGCCCTATAACCCGGTGCGCCTTTTGTATGTGTTAAATACCAAAAAGATACCCCTAACTGAAGCTGCGCCCTTTAACACGGTGTGCCCTATGGTCGTGAAAATACGGTAATTCAGACGTTATTAAGCCACCAATAAAAGGAATATACCTGTAGTCTGTATCCTTCACCGGTGTAAAGGTGTACGTCCTCTGACCTTGGTCAATGTAACGCTTTAAGGAGGATAGCAATGTCAGTATAAAATCATAGACTTGAGCATCATCATCATCATCATCATCATGAACGACATCACCTCATCTTGAGATTTCACTAGTGTTGATATTGTGTAACTTCCCCTTTCACCATCAATCATTTTTCTTCTCATCTGTTGAAAAACAACAAATAAATAAATAAATCATGCTTTTAATTTTTGGTTCGAGCTTTTGTAATTATTTAAAGTAGAACGTTTCAAACCTCCACTTTGATCTCGTTCTCAAGCTCTGCGTCCAGAAAGTCGAGCGTAACAGGTTCGTCAAATCTGGCCGTCTGTGTTAGAATCAACACAAGTATTTGGTTTTCAGCGGAATGAATCATCATTTATAGACTAATCCTTTATCAATCTTCTGCTACTTTGTGGGATACAAGAGGGAACTATTTAATAACCACCATGTTGTTAACCCTCAGTTGTCAGTAACTTATTCGAATAATGTGCTCTAATCGCTAAGGTCAGCGAGAAATATTTCACCAGGCCAACAAACATCTTCCTACAACTAGACGAACAAAACTAAAATATTTTGAAGCCTGCCAAACAACACAAACTCAGCCGGTGTGGTGACTCAGACAAGCTTTGGACTCAAGTGCAATGAGGGACAACATTAACCAAACAACAATAACACAAAAGGTTCACCTCCTAACATGTCATGTTTCTAACACAAAACAGATTTATACACAACAAATCTGATATAAACTGTTTATTCTCACACGCGTATTAACTAAAGTGGAGATTCACTCTCCACCCCTGTTCTGACTGACTGAAAAATCGGAAATGTTTGCATATTTTGGTGTGATCATCGCTCACCAGTGGCTGAAGATTTGGATGGAGCAACACATATCCATTTGGGTCAATAGCAAAGTAGTAGCCATTTGGTCCAAACTAAAAAAAAAAAGAAAAAAAAGAAATGTGTGCTGATCATCAGTTTGAAACAGATAGAAAGCTAAAGTGAAACTGTAGCATCTACTACAGCAATGCATGTTTATTTACTGTAAACCGAGGGGTCAGTCTCTTAATGTCCTCCAGGGAGACATCTACAGCCATAACCCCCAAGATGAGCTGGTTTTTTGGCTTCTAAGAGAAAAGAACAGGAAAAACAGAGAAGCATGTCAGCTGTGCAAAGCCTTACGAGTTCTTCCTGGATGAGTCAAGTCCCTCTGTGTATTCTGAAGGATCTCAAGCAAATGTTGACAATAGAAATCTGGACAGTTTCATTCCCAAAAGCTTCATGTGCTGCAATGAGTCACTGAAGAGGCATTTCCAGGCTCTCTCGCAGTCACCCTGGAGGTAGCCCTGAGTCCTTTGAGGTGGACATGTGAACTCATCTTGAAGCACTTAGCTACCGGCTCGTTTCTCACTCTGTTCTGCAGGACTGATCTCTTTTCTGATTTCTGCTGTGAGACATTCTGGATTCTCTTTTTGTGGAGGGCTTTGGGGGTCCTCTGCATCAGCAGAGGATGTAGACAAAAAGCCACAAGAAAGAAGAGGATGAAAGCAATGGGTGAGACAACACTTGAGAATACTGATGTTGAAATTCTTTTTTTTTTTTGTTTCTTTGTTTTGATCTGGTAAACATTTTGGCATCTCAACAAAACCACAGACTTTTTTCAAGGTCAACATGTCAGACATACAGCCAAAAGCCGACCAGAGAACCCCAAAGTAAACAGGCTGGGACAATAATGTAAAATATTACATTCACGTGTATATTAGTGGTTGAATAGAGGGTTTAATGTGTCCACAAGTTCTGCACAGGCTTGTTATCCTCCAAATTATCTAATCAGGTGTGTTCAAGCAGGAAAAACAACCAGAGCGTCACTCAAGAACCAGGACTGAATTAATGATCTAAACGAATTAACATGTATGTATGAAAAAATAAACAACAACCCCAAAAAACTGAAATTTCTGGAATTATGCGCTACATGTTCATCTTGAAGGACTAGTGCTTAAAATGTCATTTGCAAAAAGAAGTAAAATTGTTAGAATAAAGTCAGCTATGGTGTTGTCTATCTAAACAGGTCTTCCCAAAGTGACGCCTTTGAAAAGAAGTGGTTCAAGTCGGAGTCTGGACCCCACTGGGTTAAGTGTGATGTTAAGACCTCACAATCACTGCTAATAACATTTGCTCAGCATAAATATTAAAATATGCTTAATGGGTAGTGCTGGTGGCTCAGGTGTTAGGAGTCGGCCATGTAACCAGAAGGTTGCCAGTTTGAGCCCAGGCACATGTCAGTCTGTGTGCTCTTGGGCAAGATATTTCACCTACTTAGATAAGCTGGTGGTGGCCTGAGGGACCAGTGGTGCTGATAATGTGGCAGCCTTGCTTCTGTTGATGTGCCCAAGGGCAACTGTCGCTGGTGAAGTGTTTGGGAGTCCATGACTTAGAGAAAAGCATATTTTTTTTGTTTCTTTTTAAAATCAGTATATAACATCAGATTCTGTAGGTCATCTTTTGTACGTTTATTCTGTGTGTTTTATCTAACTGCGTGACTTGGTTCTTTTTGTAACAAAGCAAAAGAGTTGTTTATACCTTGTTTTTGCTGACCTTTTGACTAACACCATCACAGCAGCAAAGCTCAGAGGAATTCAAATTTCAATTCAATTCAATTCAAGTTTATTTATATAGCGCCAAATCACGACAAGAGTCATCTCAAGGCACTTCACATAATAAACATCCCAATTCAGGTAAATTTAATAAGCCAATCAGAAAAAATGTTTCCTATATAAGGAACCCAGCAAATTGCATCTAGCTCAGAAATCCTCATACTAAGCAAGCACATAGCGACAGTGGAGAGGAAAACTCCCTTTTAACAGGAAGAAACCTCCAGAGGATCCTGGCTCAGTATAAGCAGCCATCCACCACGACTCACTGGGGATCGAGAAGACAGAGCACACACACACACACACACACACACACACACACACACACACACACACACACACACACACACACACACACACACACACACACACACACACACACACACACACACACACACACACACACACACACCAAGCAATGTGTCTATGGTTACATTGTGATTGCTTAGTAAATATTCTATTTGGCGAGAGATAAACTTTATTGTATTTATCCTAGTGGATCTATTGTTAAACGGGTAAACTAGCAGTAGCACATCCAACGTCATGGAAAGCAAAAAGTTATTATCAGGAGAGGGAGAATGTTTAAGTGGTAAGCAGGAAGACTACAGTGTTAGTCAAAACATCAGCAAAAACAAGGTAAAAACAACTATTTTGCTGTATTAAAAATAACCAAGAAATGCAGATTCTGTTGATGTTGTTTTATGGGATCGAAGCTAAAAACTCTGGGGATTTCTGCCTTAGATGGTGCACTGCATGCACAAATTGGCTCTAAAGTCCAACCAGTGAACGGTTAAGCCTGGCACGGGTTTTATAAGAAAACACTGATTGTTAGTAGAAACAGTGATGCATGGAGGTGGGAGTTTGATGTTTTGGGGCTGTGTGAGCTCGTAAGGTGTTGGGATGATCACACTTGTTCTCAAACCTATACTGAAATACTAAGATGTGACTACTGGACAGCAGATATGGTAAACTTTAAGTTAGTTGCAACATTTTGGACATTTTCTAATTAGCTGGAATGTCTGTCTGTCTGTTCGTATACAGATTCGGCGGATACCTTTGACTGTGGGGTTGTGCCTGTGTAGTTGAAAACCGGCACAGTTCCGGTGATCACTAGTCCAAGCTCCTGAAATGTGAAACACACATCAACAGTTATTTAAGCATTTACTCCATTCAGCCAAGTGAAAACAATCCAATGTGGCACATAATCAACAAATGTTTCCAGAGATTTTGTCAAATTAATCTTATTGATAAAATCACACCATGCCCTACATGAGTAAACATCCATAGCTGTGTCCAACAGTCAGAAACACAAGACAAAAATATCTAATGCTAATAAGGTCAGTGCTGTTTCAACAGCTGACTGTCTGATGGCATCCAAACTCCATTCATCGGCCTGCTTTCTTATCTACACAGTCTTCTGGGAGTGAATCTGGACTGAAACAAACATCACAAACATTGCAAAAGGAACTGGGAGAGAGTGGAGCCAAACAGAAAAACAAAACTGCCAATATTTAGCACAAATTTAAAAAAATCTTATCTACATTTTATTACGGCATGAAACAGATTTGTTCCGATTCTGACATGAGTGAGAATTGTTCCATCTTCACACAACGTACCAGAGCATCCAGGTAGACGTTCGTCCACTGCACTTGTTTGGAAGTTTTGTGAGCGTAGACCATTGGTCTCCCTAAAACATCCAGGTACTCCTGCCAGGAAAACCAGATGGGTCAGTGTTCCCAAACCTGCATGTCTACTATTTGACCACACGAGGGTGCAAAAACTCAAATTGCAAAAAGGGTTCAGGAGTGTATTTACCTGGGTGTTGATCCGAATGGCCCCGATAGATGGGATCTCATAATAATAACCTGGGGATTAGAAAAATAAGAGAGAAGCTCGGAAATGTTTGATAATTAATCATAAAAAGAAATAAATTCTTGACTTATTGTGGCACGAGAAAACATTTGTTTTAAGTTTGAGTTAGACCTTAGTCTATAATAATTTCATTTTTGCTTTTCTGATCACACACACAGACACACACACAGACACACACACACACACACACACACAGACACACACACACACACACACACACACACACACACACACACACACACACACACACACACACACACACACACACACACACACACACACACACACACACACACACAGTACCTTTATTAGCACAGGCCATCCACTGGATTGGTCCTTTGTCATAGCTGTGCTGACCAACAGAAAATGTAAAGATGCGTACCTGTAATGAAACGGAGGTAAAACGTGACGCAGGAGAAAATAATTCAGTATTCTGCTCTGATCGGTGTTTAGAGCCCTACCGCTTGATTGGGGTTGTATTTTGCAAATATCTCCTCTGCTTTCTCCTCTCCCCCATCGGTGAACAGCATGATGATCTTGTTGCAGTTGGCTCTAGACACATTTGTCTGGGTGACACATGGAAAGTAGTTGCAAGTCTAACTACAGTTGTGGTCAGATGTTTGCACACGTTCATCATGAGCATAGACGTCATTCACTTCAGCTTTTTAATGACTGAATGGAATTTCTGCAAAGTGCAACATGATTATATTTTAAAACAAGACTGAGGTGGACCAGTTTAAGTTTGAAGATCCTAGATCCTCTTCTGTCCTGACAACATCACGATTTACCCACGTCTCCTTAGTGATCATGAATAACTGTGGCTGGTGTTTTGATTGCAGCATAAAAAGCATTTGTTAGACCAAACAGTCCCCCTCAGGTGAGAGGAGATTGGTTTGGATGTTCAGCAACAACCCAAAGACCAACAAGGTTCCAGCAACAACTGGAGCATCGGTATAACTGTGCAGAGTGAAATCCCCATGGACTTAGAGGTAGAGGACAAAGATGCCCTAAAGTTTCAGTGTAAATCACAGCTGTCCTCGTGGAAGTGCTGACTGCCTTTGGAGAAGGGTTTTATTGTTGAATTTAACAAATATTGAGCTGTTTGACCACAAACAGGCATCAGGGTGAGGTTTTCGTCACTTAAAGGTATGGTTCACTTGTTTAATCAAAACAAATGCAGTGGTCTCTAGTAGGAATGAATGTCTTGCAGGCCATACCCAGGGCACAAAAAGCCCACAAACACCTAGCTCAGCAAGGACAAGTTTGTGACATTAGAGGAGTCTTCTTTCCTGATATTTGGACATTTTGCCTCGGATTGGATAACAGCAATGCGGCTCTACCACTAACTCTGTTTGCATTGACGTTTTATCTTCACAAATAACACAAGCCTGGAGGAGCTTCTGCTATGTGGTTGAGTTGTTAATGCTAACTGTTAGCTTCTGTTAGCTGAGACGTTCTCTACTGATTCTGGGAGCTAAATCAACAACAGCCTTCCCTGTCGCGAGCAAATATGGGTGAGTTCAAGTGACAGTGAGACGTACATTTGTCAGGCTTTTCAAATCCTTCATCTATTTTCTATCAGAAGCTAATGCAGAAGACAGATGTAGGTATAGACGTAATTTTCACTTTAGAAGTGTGTGTGTGTGGGGGGGGGGGTCTTTACAATATGCTCTAATGGGAAACAGGCTTCAACACAAATGGTTGTTTTCCGCTTGGTCCTAGAGCTCAACCAGTGTCAATTTAACATAGCGTAATATTGTTTTTGGATGGTAAAAAGTGCAGGGGTCAAAACTTGACTTTGGAAAAAGTGGGGGGGACATGTCCCCCTGTTCCCCCCCAAAATTATGTCCATGTAGGAGACTATTTTCATGTTCGGGCTGCCTGAAAAAACTCAGAATGCCCAATTATAATTAGAAATAATCATTAGGATTTAGGTTTTTTAGTGTTCCACACCTTTAAAACACTGTCAAGCATGGTGGTGATAGCATCATGAAAGGAATGGCTACCTCCAAAGATTTCAAATTCACTTGCAATCTAACCTGATCACAGTGAAGTTCACCTCCTCGCTGTTAATTTAACAGACTAAGGATGAAAATCATCACTAGGTAAACATGTCTGGTTTCTTTTTATGAAGCCAAATTGAAGTGAACAGGCCAAGTGTGTCTAATCTAAAATGGTCCGTGTAGAAACAGTCCTCTGCTCTAAATCTTACCCTTAGATAGAATGTAACGATTCTACGATCTCTCTGCTTTGGTACAATCTCAACACAATCAAATACGTCAGACTTTTATATTGCCATATCACCCATGCTAAATGTTTGAGGCACAGTGAGGTGTCCCAACAGGACAATGACCCTGAAAATACATCAAAACTGGACTTTAGGTTAGCGCAAAATACCTCGGACCTCAAGCTATCAAAATATCTGAGCTATGCTTGAAAGGAGTCACTGATTAGAATAAAGTTGACCAATTCTGCTAACCACAGTTGTCAAACATTAGCCAGAAGCATACCAGAACCACGGCCAACTTGCTAAAAGACATTTATTCAACTATTAAGAAAGGTGTGTGCTTATACTTTCAACTTCATATAAGAGAAAATTTCAACTTTTCTACCAAATTAGTATTTTTAAAAATCATTGCAGGATTATTTTGTGTTTACTTACACATTGAACTAAATGTCAGTCATCAAAAACAGACAATAATGGCAATAATCCCAACTGACTAATTGTGTAATGGACTTTGGAGGGGGACCACATTTGCTGCAGACACCTTTGATGATCCATTTGAATCTCGGCCCAGCAGTGGATTGAGACACTTTGCAAATTCTTTTTAAAGTGCAATTTTAAAACCAACCACAAGAGGTTGATGAACACTCACTTTTCAGAGAATCTATGGGACTGCAAAGTTATGATCAGAGTCACTCAGAAAAGAAATGTCAAACAACAGTTTCATCTTTAAGTTAACGTCCATGACTACCTTTTAACATCCTCTAAAACCATCCAAACCAACACTTATTCCTGAATTTACACGCTACCTGGTTGAGCTGCTGAAAGGCCAGCTCGAAGCCACTTGTGTAGTTGGTGATCCCCTCAGCTTTGATATTCAGTACCGCATTCTTCAGTGTCCTCTTGTTCCTCACGTTGGCCTGCACCAGGTTCTGAAAGCATGCTGCAGGCCTGGCGCTTTTGTTGAACTGGGGGGATAAGGTAAGGAGGGTTGACGGGGAGCGGAGGGAAGACACTCGCACATATTTTCTACTAAATATGTGATTTTCATTCCCCTTCGTTGCAGATGGCCCCTTAAACATAGGTAGCATTTAAATGAAACGAAATAAACAAATAAACAGAACTACAGACAAATGATGTGCAAAATGAAAATGTTTCGATCAAATCTGCACAAACCGAAGGGAGCTACAGGGACAGAAGGAAGGTTTAGAAGGAGAGCAGGTGAGGATTTAAGAACAGTGGCACAAGGAGGTAGAAAAGAACAAAAACAATCAGAGAGCTTGGTTATGGAAGGATTACAGCACAGAAGCAGACATACGTCTAACATGTTAAGTCACATTTACGCTGAAATGCATGTGAAAGAACTTCAGGTGAATAGTTAATGTGGAGGAACAGATGGAACCCAATCAGTTTGTCCACACACACACACACACACACACACACACACACACACACACACACACACACACACACACACACACACACACACACACACACACACACACACACACACACACACACACACACACCTATAGAGGGGTAGGACATGGCTCATTAATACTCAACATCTGTTTTTTGCCCCAGATGCACCCTCACTTCAAAGCCATCAAACTGACAACACACACTCACAAATGTTCAATGACGTACAAACACAGAAAACTTTCACAAATCCCTGTTTATCTGCACTGCCATGCATCACACTGAGTTCATGCTATTTTCTAATAAATAAGAAGAAACATCACAGACCATAACCGTAAAGCCTGACACTTTAGGACATAAAAAGATGGTGCAACGTATGTTGGCAGAAAATCTAGACTACCAAACATTCCACAAGGGATGCATTTATGTGTATTTATTTATCCACCATGCAGCTATGGATATCCTGCAGTCGGCTAATTTATTCCATCATGTTGCTGTAAAATTTTTGATGCATGCATTGTAAAACGTCAAAGGTCCTCAAATATCAAAGAACACGTTTGTGGTTTATGCGGAGGGAAATTAATATTTGCTACAAAGAAGGGAGACTGTGGTCGCGTAGGATATTTTATAGGAAGGTAGTTGTTTCTTAACTGATGCTTGATGTAATTTCAAATCTAAGCTTTTGTGTTTATCGTTTCGAAAACTGACTTCACACAAAGCTTTTCAACATTTCTCATAGTTTTAAACTTTTTTTATATTAACCTAGCTAACACACACACACACACACACACACACACACACACACACACACACACACACACACACACACACACACACACACACACACACGCACTTTATGTACATTTTTCTTTTGCAGTTCTGAGTCGACAGCCCTTCTGCACATCAATTGAAAGTGGCCTTTAGATTGTGAAAAAGTATCGTACTCCTTAAAGAGCAAGTCACCCCCAAATAACATTTTTTTTTGCTGATAAACTACATAAAAGGAGTGTCTAATCATGCTGCAGACACGTGTCGTCAATAATTTGGCAGTTCAGTGCATCTTGGTTAAAATTCAAATATTCTGCCTAAAACTGTCAGTGTTGCGCCGTCGTCAGGGAAAAATTCTGCACTGTATTTGAATTTAAATCTGCCAACGCTATTGGCTAAGAGGTATGCTATGATGTCATCTGGTGCATTATGATGTCATAATGCCATTGTGAGCCTGTGTGTGTGTGGATTTGTTAGCAGCTCCGCCCTCTCGGTCTGCCAAGCAACAGCATTTGTTGCATTTTTCAAACATGAAGTGGGAGTGAAGTAAGTTTCTTGTAGGGGGTGACTTGCTCTTTAAATTACATTTACCAACTGACTGAGAGTTTAGTGGTTGCCTGGCAACAAATTAAAGGGTCACTTAGGGATCAAATTACATCCCAAATGCTTCATGGATTTCAGAGGACACATCTAGTCTGATTGCCTTCAAAGTGTCCTGGACTGAGGAAAAATATCCACGTTTCAAACGGTGTTATTTTTCTTTCCATAAATAAAACAGATAAGGGTCAGGACTGCTTTAACCCAGCAGAAGACGGGGCTTTAAATTATGATGGATGAAGATTTCCTCAGTCCGAATGCCCGGGAAACATTGATGCTTGAGATTTCCACAGAAGCTCATTTTGGCACGCCCATTACATCCCACAGATTCAGAACATGGTTTATAAATGCTGCACAGAATAATTTGTCTCCATTTCTGTGTGACATTTCAGAGCATACATTCATTCCAGACATATCCAGACTCTAGGCATCCACTGGCATGTTTCATAACACACACACACACACACACACACACACACACACACACACACACACACACACACACACACACACACACACACACACACACACACACACACACACACACACACACACACACACACACACACATATACAGTTAATATATCATATTTCCACACTAACATGTATTATCGTATACATGGATACACAAACACACAAGCTGTACTCACATAAACCACGTTCACAAAGTCGTCATCAGAGAGGGTCTCCAGCATGGTGCCTACAGATGTTTTGATGAGTTTGAGGGTGAGACCTGATACGCTTCCACTCCTGAGATACAGATCAATACATCACATTTACTTAAAAAGCTGGTTTTAGGCAGATGAAGAATTTGACACCAGATGTGACTACTTTGTCATAATTCTTAATTAAACGATTGGGACACAGCAGACCTATCTATATACATAAATAAAAGCTTTGATTGTGAGATACCAACATGAGAAATTCCTTCTATTCTAAAATGTAAGTGCCTGGTTTTTCTAGCTGACACTGACCACCGAGAAATAAGTGGTGCCATAAGAGCTGCATTTATAAACCTGTGTGATGAGTGCTTTTCAGTCAGACTGAACCCACAAGTAGAGGAACAGGTCCAGAAGTGGGATGATGACATTCAGGTGGTGGCTGTTTTTGTCAACAAGGACACCAACAGTAATTTGCTGAGAAGAAGAAGAAGAAGAAGAAGAAGAAGAAGAAGAAGAAGAAGAAGAAGAAGAAGAAGAAGAAGAAGAAGAAGAAGAAGAAGAAGAAGAAGAAGAAGAAGAAGAAGAAGAAGAAGAAGAAGAAGAAGAAGAAGAAGAAGAAGAAGAAGAAGAAGAAGAAGAAGAAGAAGAAGAAGAAGAAGAAGAAGAAGAAGAAGAAGAAGAAGAAGAAGAAGAAGAAGAAGAAGAAGAAGAAGAAGAAGAAGAAGAAGAAGAAGAAGAAGAAGAAGAAGAAATCATTTCTATAGCGCCTCTCAAGATAAAAATCACGAGGCGCTTCACAAAAACAAAAAAATGTACACATATAAAGAAGAATTTAGAAAATGGTTTAAAATATTTAAAATGAGCAAAAATAGACAATTGTGATTAAAAAATGTTAAGAAAGAGAGAGAGTGAATAGAAAAGAGGGAAATCAGTGGATCCTGAGGAAGGTGGAATAGGTGGGGAGAGCAGAATAAAGAGAGAGTGGTGAAGAAGGTCATACAAAAGCCAGCTTGAACAAGTGAGTCTTCAGCTGCTTTTTAAAGGAGACCACTGAGTCCACTGATCTCAGGCTCAGGGGGAGAGAGTTCCAGAGTCTGGGGCCACAGCAGCAAATGATCTGTCACCTTTTGGTCTTTAGCCTGGTGCTGCACAACCAGTAGGCTTTGATCACTGGACCTCAGGGACCTGCTGGGGGTGTAGGGACTAAGAAGATCACCAATGTAAGATGGTGCTTGTCCATGTAAGGTCCTGTAGACCAGAACCAGGATCTTGAAATGAACCCTGAAGTTGACTGGCAGCCAGTGAAGCTAGAGGAGAAGCGGGGTGATGTGGGTGTGTTTGGAGGACTTGGGCAGAAGCCGAGCACAGGCATTCTGAACCACCTGTAGACGGTTCAGGGAGGTTCTGCTCAGACACGTGAAAAGAGAGTTACAGTAGTCTAAGCGTGAGGAGATGAAGGTGTGGAGAACTGTCTCAAGTTCAGAGTGGGACAGAATGGGACTCAGCTTTGCAACGTTCCTGAGATGGAAGAAGGAAGAGCGAACAAGAGAACTGACATGAGAATCCAGGATGAGAGCTGGGTCAAAGGTCACAACAAGATTCCTGACAGAAGGTTTGGTGTGAGAAGCAAGCTGACCAAGAGAGTCTCTGACTTTGGGAACCAGCTTGTCTGGGGCACACATGAGGATCTCAGTCTTATCTTCATTCAGCTGTAGAAAGCTCCCAGCCATCCAGGTTTTAATAGAGTCTAAGCAGGTGTGTAACAGCTGCAGCTTAGACATCTCACAGGGCTTAAAGGAGATGTACAGTTGGATGTCATCTGCATAAAGATGGTAGGAGATTCCTTTGAAGGAGCTCAGGATGTGCTGAAGAGGAAGCAGATAGAGGAGGAAGAGCAGAGGCCCCAGCACAGAACCTTGTGGGACACCATGGGTAAGGGAGGTGGTAGAGGACCTAAACTTGGAGATGGCCACAGAAAAGGAGCGCTCAGAAAGATAAGAGGAGAACCACTCCTGAGCAGTTCCTGATAGGCCTTCCCAGTCTCTCGGCCTCTCCAGTAGCAGGTGATGGTCAACAGTGTCAAAGGCTGCAGTCAGGTCCAGCAGGACCAGAACAGAACAGTCCCCTGCATCACTGTGAGTCAGAAGGTCATTAGAGACCGTAAGAAGAGCTGTTTCAGTAGAATGAGCTCTACGAAAACCTGACTGTAAGTAATCATAGATGTTATGTTCATCAAGAGCAGCTGTGAGTTGTTTAACCTCCTAAACCTTTTTGTCTTTGATAACGGGGACATGTATTGACCTCTTAAAGACAGATCGGTCCATTCTATAGAAAACATGTTCATGAAGTTAAAAATCAGCCTTATATAAAGTCGTTTAGGCAGTTTTAATTTTTACAGTTTCAGTTTCTTCCGTGATGAGTCGTTTCAGATGTGTAAAATAAGTTTCTGGTGGTCACGCCCACCAATCCCGATTGGCTGGAGTTGAGCTGCTGCTCCTCCACATCCAGAGCCTCACGGGCAGGTTTCTACACAAATTTACCCTACTGTGACGTCAGAATAAGACATTTGTTTGTAGAAAGATTACTAAAAAGTAAAACTGGATGTAAGGGAGTTTTGTGTAATATGTCCCCTTTAAAGATGGCAAATAAGATGATGTAATTCTTACTTTGAAAGCCACTAATAAACCACTGGATGTAAATAATGAGGTTACCACAGCATCATCACGGTACCCAGTCAAAGTTAGAACCGGGGCACAGAAAGCAAATAAAATCTGACAATTCTGTATGAATCATTGGGCTGTCTGTCACTCACGCATCCACTAGGATCAGCATGTCCTTGGGTGAAGCTGCCCCCTGAATGTACCTGGTGAGTAATAACAAACACAAAAACAGAGGCGTACAGAAACTATTTATTTGTTTTTGTCTGTGAGAAATAGAACAGGTTTTGATTTTTTATATCAAACTTTCTTAAACTAGGAGTTTATGTGTTAAACGAGCAGCTGAACGTACCAGGGTCGCCTTCGCACGTCGTACAGGTCGATCTTATTTGGTGAGCTGCTGGTGTCGATCCAGGGGGAAGCTGCATTTTATTTAATTAAACAATAAACATCAGAATCAGCGAAAAACTCAGACAAAGTCAAACCTCACATCATTTATTTTCATTTCAGTTGAAATACGACAAATGTGTGATTCAGGGCATAAGGCAAATAACTTTTATAGCCTCGTTGGCTTGCATTCATTTTTTCTTTGTTCCGGGGACCCATGAGCCGACCAGAAAGGGGGGGGGGGGGGGTATTTAATACCTATATTGCTGTACACAGTACAAATCGCCTTGCAAAAGTATTTATACACCTTCAACTTTTACACAGCTTGACACCGTACTGCCGCACATTTAAATGTTTTTATTTACACTTCCTGTGATAGACCAACACAAAGTTGCACATAAATGTGAAGTAGAAAGAAACTTTTGGCAAATAAAAGTCTGAAAAGTGTGGCTTGCATTTTTATTCAGCCTACCTGTGTCAATACTTTGTAAAGGTGAGGGGGGTTCAATTCTGGGCCTGGAGGGCCGGTGTCCTAGCCTGGCCCTCGACACTTACTGTTTAATTCTACACAGACAACTATGCTTCCCATTAGGAAGCATGGCACTGGCTGGCCATTTATTTTTAGTTTTAACAGTTTCAACACACCTGACGTCAATCAAAGTCAAACAATTCAAGGCAAATAAACTAAAAATCTCAAAGTCACTCAACCATGAAACCTTTCAACTTAAAGCAGAACATTTTTAATTTTAAAAACTTTTTCCAGCTGAATGCAAGTTACATAAAAAACTCCTGACAGAGGTTTAGTAACTCTTAGCTATGAGTCAAAATTCACCTAAATGTCTGCATAACTTAGTCTGGTGGAGGGTGATGAAGTTCAGAAGAAAAAAAAAACCTGACAAACTCATCATCATTCACCGAAGCTGCCCTGCTCACCTGGATAGTAACGAGTCAGTCCCGTCGCAGATCCAAACACCTGCCAGAGCAGCGAGGGATCTTCCTCTTTGTTTATCCGGAACGTTTCCTCCAAAGCTTCTGTCCAATTTAGCTCATTTAAAATGATGGTAGCTGGAAAACACACGAGGAAGATGAGTCATCGACAAACACATCTCTCTCTCTCTCTCTCTTGTTCACTCTTGCGTGGGTGCATGTGTTACACACACACACACACACACACACACACACACACACACACACACACACACACACACACACACACACACACACACACACACACACACACACACACACACACACACACACACACACACACACACACACACACACACACACACACACACACACACACACACACACAATTTTTTCAAGTTTTCTAAGTTTTGGGAAGGATTTAACAACACTAATGGACAAGGTTGAGAAAGAATTAAATGCATTAAAGTGTTGGTTTGATTTAAATAAATTAACTTTAATAATTTGTTTTTATTATATTTACTAATAGAGCAATTACAGTGGATACACATCTCAAAATAAATTGAAATGGAAAGAGTGAGTGAAATAAAATTTCTTGGTGTAACCACAGACAAAAAGTTAAGTTGGAAGCCGCATCAAGCAAGGTTATCTATATTATTAGCAGTTCTACATAAAGTTAAATAATTTTTAAATGAAAAAGCTTTATTTCTTTTGTATTGTTTCTTAATTCTGCCTTATTTCATGTACTGTGTTGAAGTGTGGGGAAATACCTACGAAACCCACTTAAAGCCTTTGTTTATAATTCAAAAGAGAGCAACTGGACTTGTAAATAAAGCAGCTTGAAGAGAGCATACACATTTACTTTTTATTCATTTAAAAGTATTAACCCTTTGATGCATAATGGTCACTACAGTGGACAGGTACTCAAAATTATTATTTATTTGTTTTTGCTATTAAGCACAGCTGTTTGAAGACTTTATTGCATTTGAGCCCCTCCATTTGGACTTCGGTAAGCCAAGCCAACATATTTCATGCTCAGAATGCAGCTGTCCACTGAGGTGGACATGTAATAAATTATTAGTAAATTATAAAATTTTACAAAAAAAAATTGTTGAAATTTGTTTCATTCACACCTAAAGACAAATGAAAAAAATTGTTACAAAAATCATGGTTGAAGATTTCATAATTCATGCATCAAAGGGTTAAAGCTAAGTGAATTAGTTACATTGAGAACTGCACAATTTATGTATAAAGTGATGAATAATTTGATGCCAAAACAAAGTCAGGATCTGTTCCAGATCAGGAAGTGTTTATGATCTCAGAGGGCATAAAATGTTTAGAAAGCCTAAAGTGAGAACTAAAATGAAACAACTTTGTATTTCTTGTGCTGGGGTTGATGTGTGGAATAAATTAGACCAGGAGCAAAAAGATTGTTCAACTATGTTAAAGTTTAAGGGTATGTTTAAATCAAATGTGATTAAATGTTTTGAATCAAGTCTATGAAAAAAATGCATAAAATATTAAAGGTTATTATTGTTTATAAAGCAAGAATGGGGATTTGAATATATTCTCATAAATTTCAATAATGGTGTATAAATTATGGTATCGGTATGCTATTCTAAAATTTTTAAGTTTCAAATGGTTTGGGGGTTGGGGTTAGAAGCTTATGCTTCTGCCTGCACCCATTTTTAAATTATATAAGTTGTGTGTTTATTTGTAAACCTTCAAATGTTTTTTATTTTATATATATATATATATTATATATATATATATATATATATAAAAGATATTAAAGAATGGCTACACACACACACACACACACACACACACACACACACACACACACACACACACACACACACACACACACACACACACATACATACATACATAGTCAGCATGGGGCTGTATGACTCATACATGTGTGTGTGTTTTATTGAGTGTGTTTATTACAGCAACTGGATGAAAAATAGAATAGAATGAAATTACGTTTCACACTGTCCCATGCGTAGACATTTACATAAAGTGCAGATGCACAACAATAACAAAACAAAAAACATCCCTAACAATAAGATAATATTAAACAGGTAAATATCGCTAATAATATACAAAACATATAGCAGCAGGTGTGTGCAATTTCTATGCAGAGGTAGTTGTTTACAATCAGAAATGTTTACCCCATTATTGGTTCAACCACTATTTCCTTTTTGTATAAGGTGTGTGTGTGTGTGTGTGTGTGTGTGTGTGTGTATGTGTGTGTGGGGGGGAGGGGGGGGTGTGCGTGTGCGTGCGTGTGCGTGTGTGCAAATAGAAGAGATTCAATGTTGGATAAGGTGAAATTTAAGATCTCAGGTAAAGAAAAGGCCATCATTCATTAATTAAAAATTCAACACTAAAAATGTTACTGAAACTACTAAAACTATCCATCCATCCATCCGTTTTCATCCGCTTATCCGGAGTCGGGTCGCGGGGGCAGTAGCCTAAGGCGAGAGGCCCAGACTTCCCTCTCCCCAGCCACTTGGGCCAGCTCCTCAGGGGAATCCCAAGGCGTTCCTGGCCAGGTGAGAGACATAGTCCCTCCACCGTGTCCTGGGTCTCCCTTTAGGCCTCCTCATGGTTGGGCGTGCCCAGAAAACCTCACCAGGGAGGCGTCCAGGAGGCATCCTGACCAGATGCCCGAGCCACCTCAACTGGCTCCTCTCGATGTGGAGGAGCAGCGGGTCTACTCCGAGCCCCTCCCGAATGACCCAGCTTCTCACCCTATCTCTAAGGGACAGCCCAGCCCAGTAAATCAAGAGCTTCGCCTTCTGACTCAGCTCTCTCTTCACCACGACAGATCTGTACAACGCCCGCATCACTGCAGATGCAGCACCAATCCGCCTATCTATCTCACGCTCCAGCTTTCCCTCACTCGTGAACAAGACCCCGAGATACTTAAACTCCTCCACTTGGGGCAGGACTTCATCCCTGAGCCGGAGAAGGCATTCTACCCTATTCCGAATCGAGACCATGGTCTCAGATTTAGAGGAGCCGATTCTCATCCCAGCTGCTTCACACTCGGCCGCGAACCGCTCCAGCGAAAGCTGAAGATCATGTTCTGATGAAGCTAACAGTACTACTACTACTACTAAAACTACCGAAACAAAACTCTGAGTAAAAAGTCGATTATAGGCCAGAAAGTAGGGCTGGGCAATAAATCTAAAATTAATTGTTATCAAAATTTCTGACTTTTATCGTGCTAATTTTTCCCGTGTCAATAAATTTGATTGTACAAAAATGAAAACATGTGTGTAGGTTGGCAACGTTCATGTCCCTTTAAGAAGCTGTACCACCTGAGTCACGTAAAAATGTGACTCGACATAATACATGTGACAGCCCCATCTAGTGGACAACTTTAGTTTCTGCGCATACCTGTAGTTATCATCCATTTATCGTCATCAAGGTGAGTCCTCAATTTATCGTGATATTGATTTTAGGCCATATCGCCCAGCCCTACCAGAAAGTTTAGAAAAATAACAGCTTTTTCTGTCTAATCTTCACACTTTTCTCCTCTGTCCTACTCCCCTCTAGCTCTTCTTTTCACTCTTAAGCACCCACAGGGATTTTACTCCACGTGCGAGGGGAGAGATAGGGGTTTTGGTGAAGTTTAAATAGCTCTCTGTGGTGTTGGAGAGAACTATGTGCTCCAATATTAAGTGACTACTTTGTTTAGGACTGAACTTCCTGAACTCTGAGAATGTTTTTTGTAGATTGGTCTTGTTGTTTTTTCAGACATCTTTGGTTAACAAGACTTCAAACGTGAGGTAGTGGTGAGTTTTCTGTATTTCCTTTGAATATGATTGACAAACCAATTGAAAACAGGATATCGACACACTCAAGAGAATAGATGAAGCAGCAGTTTGGAGTCCCCAGTTTAGATGATTGGGCAGCTTAAAGCAGTGTTTCTTAGACTCTTGTGAACACTGGAACAAGCTAGTTTCAGTGTAACCAGATCCATCTGTGAGGTGATGTGTCTGTTTTGAGGTCACTGTGGCGAAAGGAAAAGAGGTGTTACTCGTCAGCTCTGTCAGCTGTGGCTTCATTTCCTGCGGGACTTTACCCGGTGATGTGTGTGTGTGTGCTTACAGCAAAGAGCTTATGTCAGTATCTCAAAGAACACTTTACAGTAGACCTTATTTTTCTTCTAGGGCTTAAAAAGGTTTTAAATATAATTTTAATGCAATAACCAAGATTTTTCCAACATTACTAACATCGAGAAAAGGAAAGCGATATCACTGATGTTTCTCCACAAGGTGGGAACCACTCATCAGCTTTAAAAGGAGAAGGCTACTTTGGACAACCCATCTCCAGAGCTGCTCTGGAACGACATATGGACAGAGAAATACGACTGTCACAATGCAAAAGAAGAATAAGAACAAAGACATATGCAGAGGAATCAGAGCGGCTCATGACCTGACATATAAAGCACCACACAGTAGGTAAAATCATGTTGCTGCCTCGAGCCACCAGAAATTGATGGTATAACAAAAGACAGAGGATGCCCAATGAATTCTGAAGGGTAAAGATGCCGTCTTCTCATACTGGACCAAATGAAACAAAGTTATCTGCATGATGATGTACATTACAGATAAACAATCAAGCCAACATTATCAAATAAAACTACAATGAAAAAATTAAAACTATTTGGACTTAGTTGATTTTATTGTGTACATCTGTTCCACATGATTAAAATAAGTTCAACCAATAGAATATTTCTCTTTCCTTCTACTAACGTATTCTCATCAAACCAAAGTATTTATTCATGTGAAACTGCTTGAAAACTCATAACGACTCAACATGATTTTTATGACCTAAAGTCACTTGGGGCTGCTCACTGCCAGATTAAGATCTATGCACCCTTTTTAAGTACATATACATACATACATATGTATATATATATACACACACACACACACATATATATATATATATATATATATATATATATATGTGTGTGTGTATATATATATATATATATATATATATATATATATATATATATACACACACACATATATATATATATATATATATATATATATATATGTGTGTGTGTGTATATATAATATATATATATATATATATATATACACACACAC